CGTCTTGTTAAAACCCCGTTTCCTCCATTGACGAAGAAGTGATTGGCTTAAAAACAACGGAACTAAAACAGCATGTTTGAGCATCATTTGTGCTCATCAAGGTGCCAGACTGGACAAAAAGGAAGGGAACGTGATTTGAATGCTCGGTTTGAATGCATGACGCTTTTGAATAATAATAATAATAATAATGATAATTTATTATCATTATTAACAATCACAACAACAATAAAACAACAGATTTTGCGTTCCTCATTATACATTGTGTCATACAGGGAAGCCCCCATGCCCCCATTAAGGATTGTGTATTTTCTTTCTGTGAAACAAAAGTTAAATGTGTCCAGAATATTTATCATAGTTAATTGTTATTAAAAATCTAATAACATGAAAAAATGACAATTTAATTTGTACCAAGGGGGCGTTTTGCCCCACACTTGCTAACTAGCTACCTGATGCTAACTACAGGTAATTATTAAATATAAAGTCAAAATATTTTTATTCAACCACCTAGATAGAATACATTTGATGGAAAAACAAAGGAAGCATTGGGGAAACGGTTTCTCCAATTGAGAGCGAGTCAGGCTTCTACAGCCATTTTTTCCTCGTCCCCAAAAAAGGATGGTGGCTTATGACTCATCCTCGACCTCAGGAACCTCAACCTGGATCCCATGAAACGGCTGTTCAGGATGACTACGTTGAAACAGATCCTCTCGCAATATGCCCAGGGGACTGTTTTTTTTCTGGACCTGAAAGACGCCTACTTTCACAGCCAGATAGCCCCTGATCACAGACGATTCTTGAGATTCACCTTCAAGGGAGGGGTTTATCAATACACGGTCCTTCCCCTTTGGGCTGTCCCTGGCTCCTTGCACTTTTATGAAGTCTGCCTCTGAGGCAGACGGGACTTCACATTCTGAATTACCTCGACAACTGGCTCATCATAGCCAGTCAGAGGCTGAGCTACCATCCCACCGATTCCTCTTCCTCAGCCATTTGGAATGTCTGGGACTCAGGGTCAATGTTGCCAAGAGCTAAACGGATTCTGTTCCTGGGAGCAGTTTTCGACTCAGCCTGAATGAGGGTGTTAGTCGTGCCAGAACATACACAGGCCATTCAGTATCTCACGGCCTCCTTCAAAATTGGAGCCTCTCACCCTCTCAAGATGTTTCAAAAGATACTAGGCCTCAGTACTGGCTAAAACCGCAAGTTCCGCCCCACGGATGCCTTTGAGTCAAGGTGGACCAGGCCTGCGTAGCAGCTCTGGCCCCTTGGAGAGACCCTCAATGGTTTGAGCGGGGTGTGACTCGACCTCAGGAACCTCAACCTGGACCCCATGAAACGGCTGTTCAGGATGACTACGTTGAAACAGATCCTCTCGCAATATGCCCAGGGGACTGTTTTTTTTCTGGACCTGAAAGACGCCTACTTTCACAGCCAGATAGCCCCTGATCACAGACGATTCTTGAGATTCACCTTCAAGGGAGTGGTTTATCAATACACGGTCCTTCCCCTTTGGGCTGTCCCTGGCTCCTTGCACTTTTATGAAGTCTGCCTCTGAGGCAGACGGGACTTCACATTCTGAATTACCTCGACAACTGGCTCATCATAGCCAGTCAGAGGCTGAGCTACCATCCCACCGATTCCTCTTCCTCAGCCATTTGGAATGTCTGGGACTCAGGGTCAATGTTGCCAAGAGCTAAACGGATTCTGTTCCTGGGAGCAGTTTTCGACTCAGCCTGAATGAGGGTGTTAGTCGTGCCAGAACATACACAGGCCATTCAGTATCTCACGGCCTCCTTCAAAATTGGAGCCTCTCACCCTCTCAAGATGTTTCAAAAGATACTAGGCCTCAGTACTGGCTAAAACCGCAAGTTCCGCCCCACGGATGCCTTTGAGTCAAGGTGGACCAGGCCTGCGTAGCAGCTCTGGCCCCTTGGAGAGACCCTCAATGGTTTGAGCGGGGTGTGACCATGGGTATTGTCCACAGAAGGAAGGTTGTCTTGACAGATGCATGCAACAAGGGTTGGGGAGGTTTGTGCGAGGGCAGACTGACCTTCGGCTCCAGGTTGGACACGGAAGGACGGCTACACATCAACTGCCTCGAGATGCTGGCAGTATGTCGAGCCCTTCAGACCTTCTTACCAGACCTGAAGGGACGACATGTACTGGTCTGTTTGGAGAGTATGACAGTGGTGTCTTATATAAATCACCAAGGCAGGCTCACCTTGAAGCGCCTCAACAAGATGGTAAAACGACTCTTGGAATGGGCACACCTCAACTTGCGCTCATTAAGGGCAACGCATGTGCCGGGCATATTGAACCAAGGTGCAGACATCTCAGTGTCCCGTGTCAGAGGAGTGGACGGTCCATCCGCAAACGGTTCTAAGAATCTGGGAGATCTTTGGCAAAGCAGAGCTCAACCTCTTTGCCTCAAAAGACAACTCTCATTGCCCACCTTACTTTTTGAAGGACATGGACACGTTGGCCTACGACTGGCCCAACCTCCTCCTTTACGCTTTTCCACCGATCGCTTTGATTCCCCAGGAAATCAGGCGAATCAGGGAACACAAACACATGGTCTTCCTAGTGGCTCTGCTCTGGAGGAACCAGTTTTGGTTCTCAGAGCTGTCTCGGTTGCTGATAGCAGGCCCCTGGCCCATTCCCCTGAGACAAGACCTTCTCTCTCAGGCGAACATGATGATATGGCACCCCCAGCCCAAACTGTGGGCTCTGCACCTATGGGCTCTCGATGGGAACCTACAACCCCCCCCCAATAGTGTCTTAAATACTATCTCACAGGCTAGAGCCCTGTCTACGAGATGCCTCTATGCTCTTAAATGGTCTGTCTTCTCTACCTGGTGCACAACCTAAAGACTTAACTTCCTGTGACATATCGGTGATATTGTCTTTCCTCTAAGAGCTGTTGGATAAGGGCCATTCCCATTCCACCCTCAAGGTCTATGTAGCAGCTTATAGGATCTTTTTTGGAACGATTATCCAAGGCTAGACTGACCTCTGCGAGTTCAGCCCTCTTGCCTCCTGCGGGGCTTACCCTGCTATACTTGGTTCCGCTGAGCCCTTAGATCAGCGGTGGCGAACTACGGTCCTGGAGAGCCACAGCCCTGCAGAGTACAGCTCCAACCCTAATTAAAACTCACCTGCCTGTAGCTTTCTAGTAACCCTTCATACCTTGATTAGCTTGTTCAGGTGTGTTTGATTAGGGTTGACGCAAAACTCTGCAGGGCTGCGGCTCTCCAGGACCGACGTTCGCCACCCCTGCCTTAGATGCTTAAGGCCAGTTCATATAATAGTCATTCCTCTGTCATGGCACGGCGGGATTGTAATGATTCCCCATAAGCGTCTAGCGATGCAGTACGAGTGAAGTATCAATAGGGAATGTACTCAGTTACTAACGCAACTTTGGTTCCCTAGCCGTGCTATGACTCAGTGCCGTTGCTTCATTCGAATTAACCTGAGGATCCTATGCCAGAATGCCCACTTATATAGCCAGATGTACTCGGCCATTCTGGTGGGCTCTGACAGACTTCGTGGCCATAGGCTTGTGCAGCTCTGCTACTTCGCCACTGGTTCATTTTCATTTCACTGCCTGAACCAATGGAGTTGGTGCAGTTACACTGCATTATTGAAAAAGGCTTCAGTTATCAGAGAAAAAGGAGTTTTCCCCATAAGCGTTCCCGCAGTGCTCGTTCCCGTATCTTAGGGAACCGAGGTTATGTTAGTAACGGAGTACATTTTGGGTAGCAATTAGGCGGGTTTTCTGTTTAAAACCTGGCAACCCTGCTAACCTGTTTTAAATTCCAGTTGCGCAGATGGGAAACATTACACTGAGTTACAATGTGCCCAGCTATTATTAGATCTATGCTATTCTATGACATTAGCGATGTAATTTACATTAATTACTTTCATGAATTTTAATGTGAAATCATAAGAGACAGGTGAATAAAGAAATTATTATTTCAAGAACTGTAAAGCAATGTTGCAGTGTGTTCATTGTCAAACTCCAAAATTAGTTTATTTTGAATTCCTAAAAAAAATATTTTTTTTGAAAAAGTAAATAATTTTATTTTGACAAACTATTTTAGTTTGCCTTGTGTGTATGTATGTATATATATACACACGCACACACACACACATATATATATATATATATATATACACATATATATAATGTATTTATATACATAATTTATATATATATATATAAATATTACAATTTTAAGCTGTCATATGGTCGTTACAATGTGCCCCACCTATGGGGCATGTTGTCACATTTTATTTCCATGTTAACATGGTCATATCATATCTCATTTCAAAGCTACACCCGAACTTTAGCATGATGCAATTGGTCACGAGACACACAAGAGCTAATGGCATTTCATAACCAAAGCTGATGTAATGCTTCTTCTGGTGGCAATTTTTGAATGTATGCACAGAATCTAAACTTTCCGGTGGATGGAGACATGATTGTGTCTGTTCCTCACACAAATCAATCATTCGTTCGGCTTTGGAGGACATGGGATATTTGTACTTTTTGAATAAATCCTGACTGTGATACTATCTTTCAGATATATCCTGTGTTTTATTTTGAAAATGGTTAGGTTTGGGGGTTGGATTATGTGCTCAAAAATGTCTAAATAGCGTAATGTAATATAAATAAAATTGTTGTGGCTGCTCAAATTGAAAATCATACTCCAACATATATGTCATGATGGCACAATTATTACCCAATATATAATTTCATCATGACAATAAAATTCCCTGCCCTTCGTGTTTGTCTATTGATGACAAAGGTTTCTTATTGAAAGCAATGGAGGTTGAGGTATGATAATGTCAGTGCAGCTGAATAATATTAATAGTAATTAATAATAATTTATTAATAATTAATATTAATTTCTCAATATTAATAGTCTTTTAAACCCCAACTAAGCAAGCCTTATTGTTTTTTAAAAAAAGGACAGAGGACACAGAAGGGGAAGGTTATATATTCATTTTTGGAGGGCTTTTATTTTGGAATTCAACACCAGACAGTCTTGACATTGTGTGAGTGTCGAAGGAATTTGATATGGGTCAAACACATGAAGGAAAATGAAATAAAGCCTTACAACCCTCAATGAGCAAACCTAAAGAAACACCGGCTTTAACTACATAAGTTGTTAAAGAAAATACAGTTTGAACATTGAAAAAAAAAAAAAAAGGCCCAGTAAACTTTAATCTTTGCATACCTACAGATCATTACACTATGTATTAGCCAGTGTATATTTAAATCACCCTGAAAAATTTAAATCAGCACTTTAAATCATTTTTGAAAGACATACAGCAGTGATATGTATTTGTCTGAACCTTCAGTAATACATATTTGTATGGCTATATTTATACTGTGTATGGTTCATTATGTATGTGTAAGTTATTACGATTTATGTGTAACGATTAATGTAGACCCTAATCACGCTTTTACTTACACTGTTTGTATCATCTTGTTTATCTGTGTTTGCACCATGTTCCAAACAGGCCGACTGTATAATTGCTAAGGATTTTTCAGCGATTCTTTCTTCAGGTTACAATGTTAAGCCAGTAGTTGGAAACAACTGTCTTTATAAGTGAGCAATTAAATTATTAACATAACACAATTTGTTCAAAAACATTCACACTGTGTGTTTCTCGAAAACACAGTATGAATCGCTAATTCAGCTTTGTCTATTTTTGCTACACCGTTCCAAACAGAGTGACTGGAAATAATTATATTGCTAGTTTTTAAAAGTAATATTACAGCACGATTAGTGTTGTTAGTCTGAATAGCATGGCTATACCTGTGGACTTGTATAACAACCGTTCTTATAATACTTACTTATCTGTTTATATTACATAGCATATTCCATAATGCTTTAATATTCAGGGGTGAAAAATCAGGGGTTTTTATGCATTTATCTTTTTAGTTTGACTTCTGTAATTTGACGTGGATCAATGGACAAAGACATCTGTCTAGCGCATGTTTACATAGAAAAAAACAAAACAATTAAGCAGCACAGTGGAACACAAAAACACATTCTGTGTGACATGCTCTCAGCAGTGTTCTGTAAAGTACAATGTACATGTATATTTTTCATGCTTAAGAATGTGTAACATGAAAGAGTAAATAAAAAGAGAAAAACGATATTTATTCAAATTAAGCATGAGGGAAGATCATGTAGACCTCTTACCAGTTCAAATGAGGTACATTTTCACTTTCAAAGCAAAAGAACTACCTGCAGTTGTATTGTCATGCAAGCACCAATTTTCACAACCATTTTTCCATGTGAAGATGAAATAAAATGGCAGAATGCATGTGGCTTTAAGTAGTCTTTTTAACCACATGAATGAAATAACAGGGCACCTCTCCTTGCCCTGGGGTGTATTGCTTGAAGTCTCCATATACATTGTGCTCGCATTTTCCAAAGAACGATGCTCTCAAAATCTCCTTAAAACTCTCCAAACGATGGGGGTAGTATGACAGGCGGAATTTACTACAAGACAGAAAAGACATCGTGACAAAACATCATGCATGTAACATTATGTATAACCAATTCCTGATACACACACACACACACACACACCACTTATTTCATTTAAAATAGCTACAGTTAGTGAAAACCTCAAGTAGTGAGGTATCGAAAGAACCGTTCAGCAACCGTTTTGTGTCAAACATCTAAATAGCCATGACTCTGAGTACTTGGTGAGCAACATATTTATTGGAATTCCACAAGTAATTTACATTTATCTTAATTGCTTACTAGAAATTATTTTGCATGTACTAGGGATGCACTAATTGTTTGGCCACTTAGCACACGAAATCTGATCAGTCATCAGACAAATCATTCATACATCTTATCTTTTTATTATTATTATTATTTTAATTTTTTATTTTAAATGTATAAACAAAGGATGACATCACTGGATGGTGTATTATTGCAGATTGTGCATACTGTATTTTAGATAATATATGGATGATTGTTTTAAAGGTATAGATAATAATAAATTGTAAGATAACAGTTTTGCAAGCGTCACTGCTAGTTTGCATAGTTTGCTCTTGCTCAGTACAGTTAAAGATGGAGAGGACAAATTTACTGCAAATGGATGTAAAAACAGACACAGACTTTTAATGGAGGGACAGAACTTTCTCAGGTTTTATTAAAAACATCTTAATTTGTGTTTTGAAGTGGAATTAAAAGAGTTTTATGGGTTTGGGAAATGATGACAGAATTTAAATTTTTGGGTGACCTAACCATGATGGCAACTACATTTCGTTCTGTTCATCATACAAAGTGAACATTCACTTCAGAAAACTGGTGTTGTATCGATTACTTTTACGCTATCTTTATGCCCCTATTGTTTAATTCTATGGACAAAACAGCTGAAACATTCTTCAGATATTTCATTTCATTTGTGTAACTCAAAAGAAAATCAAACAAATTTGGAATTTCAAAAGTAACAGTCAGTATCTGTTGTGACCATCAGCTGCTTTAAGTACTTCTGTGCATCTCATCCACATGGACTGCAACAGATTTGTTAGCTCTTGCTGTGAGAGGTTATCCTTGCACCTCCAAGTTCCCAGACATTTCTGGGGGGAGGGTGGGGACACACACGAACAGCTGTCCTTCCTGTCTTGGATACGCCACAAGGATATGCTGTTTTCTACGCTTTGATTTGAAGGAAAACAGCATATCCTTGTGGCGCGGCTGACACAGAACAAGGTACGTTATTTGCGTCCAGCGGATATTCTCCAAATTGGCGCTGACGTAGAGGAGACGATTTGTTGAATAAAGTCGTTGTTTTTGTTTTCTTTGCACAGAAAAAGTGTTCTCGTCGCTTCATTAAATTCAGATTGAACCACTGATGGCAGATGGACTATTCTGACGACGTCTTTCATACTTTTCTGGGCTTTGACAGTGTAATTTACGTGGCAGTCAATGGGACAGTCACAAGCATCCCGGTTTTCATCCAAAATATCTTAAATTGTGTTCCGAAGACGAATTAAGCTTTTACGGGTTTGGAACAACATGGGGGTAAGTGATTGACAAAAAAAAAAAAAAAAAAAAAAGGAAGGGGAAAAAAAAAAAGAGAGAGTGAGCAAATAATTGCCATATTACCAAGCTACTTAATGTTAAAAAATGAAATGAAAAAGTTCTATTCAAGTGTTGATTTAACTGAACAGGCCACTAGGACAGTAAAGGGAACCTTCAACTGACTGAAAACACCAGAAGAAAATCCAGGGCCCCTGCTCACCTGCATGAAGGCATAGGCCTTCTGCAGGGAGGCATGAGAACTGCAGATGTGGCCAAAGCAATAAACTTCAATGTATGTAATGTAAGATGCCTAAGACAGTGATACAGGGAGACAGGAAGGACAGCTGATCTTTCTTGCAGTGGCAAACCACGTGTACCCACATGTCCCCACAGAAATGTCCAGTAACTTATAAGTGCCTTGGTTGAAGAGTGGGGTAGCATCGTAAAGCAAGAACCAACAAATCTGGTGCAGTCCATGAGGATGAGATGCACTGTAGTCTAGTGGTCACACCAAATATTGACTGCTACTTTTGTTACTGACCCCCCAATTGTCATTGAAAATGTAAATCTTCTTTAAATTTTACTGCACACACACACACACACACACAGACACACACACACACACACACACACGTCTGGTCAGCTATCCATGTGGGGACTCTCCATAGGCGTAATGGTTTTTATACTGTACAGACCGTATATTCTATTGCCCTACACCAACCCTACCCCTAAATCTATCCCTCACAGGAAACTTTCTGCATTTTTAGATTTTCAAAAAACTTAATTCTGTATGATTTATAAGTTTTGTACCCGTGGGGACCACAATTTAGGTCCCCACCGTGACACGAGTCCCCATGAGTCTGTGTGTAGTCAGGTTTAAGTCCCCACCAGGATATATAAACCAGTACACACACACACACACACACACCAGGGTTTCTGCAGACATGAACAAGTTAAATTTAAGACTTTTTAAGACCTTTTTAATACCACCTTATATGAAATGTAAGACCTAAACCTGTAATGGAAATACACATTTTATTACATACATATATGTAATATTTAATGTGTATAAATTAAAAAGAAAACAAAATATAATTGCTGTAATAAATTATATTTATTACTACGATATACAGTGAACTTTTCATGTCAGCAGACAATATTCCATACAAAATATCCCTGCAAAATAACTGCATCTCTGAGATTTTTGGTGGAGTAAAAATCAGTGTTCTATCAGCTTTTACATACTTAAATCTGCATATTTACCTTTACAAAGGCCTATTTTTAACCTTTTTAGATGTATGCATCATCTTACATCTTACAAATTATTACAATTTATCAATAAATTCAATATACACTATAGGGCTGCTACCAGTCAGATTAAATAATTTACACTGCAAATAACAATAATTACAACTGCAATAAATAATGTTATGAGATTAGTGTTTTAAATGCATTTGTGAGCATACAAATAAGAAATGTTGAGCCGTGTTAATTATCTGCGCGTGCTCCTCCCGAAATTTGCTACTAAAACATCACTTCACGAGTTCACACTTACATATAATGAACAGAGTAAAGGTTATGCGTATTTGGCGAGCTCGGTAATTACTCTCGAGCCCGGGGTACTCCCCCTGTCCGGGGAGAGGGGTCCGAGCTCGGGTCTAAGCCCGGACCCAAAGCACTCCCCCAAAGATGCAATTAGTACAGGACAGCAGCCAGAGAGGAGCGTTGATAACCCCCCAAAATTTGCAAAGCTTAAAATTGGTGGGGTGCTGGACGTCGTTTGTAGTAGCGGCACTGCTGAGGCTTTAGCAGAAAGAATTAGAGGCTTCTGCTGAAGCGGGCACTACTGCGGCATCTGAAAAGAAAACTCCTGTGGGAGTGGGAACTGCTACGGCATCTGAAAAGAGAAAGTGGCTTCTGCGGAAGCGGGAAGTTTTACGAGTTTTCAGTGTGGGAATTTAGGTAAGGCTCCTGTGGGAGCGGGAACTGCTGCAGCAGTGGGGAAACATGGAAGAGCTCCTGCGGGAGCTGGGACTGCTGCGGCAGTGTGGAAAATAGGGAAAAGCTCCTGCCGGGGCAGGGACAGTGGGGAAATACGGAAAGGCTCCTGCGGGAGCGGGCACTGCTGAGGCAGTGTGGGAATTAGATGAGGCTCCTGCGGGAGTGGGGAAATATAGGAAAGCTCCTGCCGGGGCGGGGACTGCTGCGGCAGTGTGGGAATTAGGTAAGGCTCCTGCGGATGCGGGGTGCTGTTGGGATGGCTGGAGTGGGGATGGGCCATTATAGATGGATTAGGTGATGTTAAAGGGGGTTAGCTATGGTGGGTCAGGAGTTCGAGTGAACAGGGATGGACTGGCGTTAAAGGGGGTCGGCTGATGAGGATTCGGTGAGCTTCTTTGATATGGAAGCGGTCTGACCGCACGTAGGTCTTGAAGGCTTCTGACAAAATCTGTGTCCTGATGATGCTGGCTACAGGGGGTGGTTCCAAGGTGAGAGTGTTCGGAGGGATGGGTAGGGGCGTGGCGGAAGATAGAGAGAAGGAAGGGCGAGCATGCGAAGGGGAGGAGGAAAGATAGCTGCTCACACTTGGGATGGCTCCGGGAGCGATATGTGAAGAAAGAGGGGGAAAGAGAGGGGGAATGGCGGGCGTTGGGGCCTGCGCCATTAGTGGAGGCGTGCTCACGCTTGGGACGACTCCGGGAGCGATAGCTGAAGAAAGAGGGGGAAAGAGAGGGGGAATGGCGGGCGTTGGGGCCTGCGCCATTAGTGGAGGCGTGTGGGAGCTGGGGGCCGCTGAAAGGAAAAAAGGGGGTCAGAAGTAACAGGACAGAAATACTGAGATGTGAGGGCCTGTGTTGCAAGCAGAAGCAGCTTCACGCTTGCTTCGGCTGCTGTAGCTATAGGCTGCGAGAAAGTGGAAGGGTTAGTGACACTTAGTGGGACAAGCTGAAATGCCTGGGTAGCCTGCGGTGTTGCCGACTTAGCAATTTGTTGTTAGATTTGGCAACATTAATAAGTTTCCATTGAAAACACATCTTTTCCTCTTGTTTTGGCCTTCCATCCACGCTAAAACAAGGAGTCTAGGAAAACAGAGCTTTAAAAACACTTTCCAGAGCGGATAAATTTGAAAATGCTGTTTTCATGTTGTAGAAACGGAAGATTTTGAAAACGATGAAGCATGTTTAGTCGTGTAACGCATTGTACCAACAGACATGTTTATACCAGTAACGTTAATTTTGCAGTTATGTGCTATTCACTTTCTCACTGTTGCTAAAGATATTTACTTTGCACGCTCGTCATATTACAGTCCTAAAAAGATGGCAGAAAATGTACTCACGATTGCTGTCCTGCGGCAAAACATGAGGGCAGTTGCGTTTTACATCAATTCTGAGTGAGCGTGCCGTGGGCGCGTCAGTGGATGGTGAAATATTTCCGTAAATGAATAGATCCTGTCAGAAGAACTGCGTGAAACGTATTATGTCTGTTCCGTCTGTATCATCTCAGTGAGGTTTTATACATCCACAGTAAGGCTAATATAACGCTTTCAGACATTTCAGTGTGGATGATTAACTTTGGGGAAAAAAAGGCATTTATTATTATTTTTTTTTAAATTGCTTTAAAGGGGTCATATGATGCGATTTCAAGTTTTCCTTTCTCGTTGGAGTGTTACAAGCTGATTGTGCATAGATAAGATCCCTGAAGTTGCAAAAACTAAAGTCGCAAAACCAAAGAGATATTCTTTATCAAAGTTAAGACTCTGCCACACCCCCCTAAAACGGCTCGTTCTAACATGCCCCCACATATCTACCTCACTATGTGGAAATATTAGCATAATGCCACCCAAATGTGCACGCAAAGAAAGAAGGCGTAGTTTCAGTAACCACAGTTAGTGTTGAAGCAGCCATGTCAGGGAGACGCTGTGTGTTTCTAGGCGAAAGCAAAAGCACTTTATTTGGCCTTCCGAAAGAAGATGCATTTAGAAATCTTTAAGATTACTTACAACAGAACAGCAATGCATTTTATGGACGACCGTTTCGTGAACCTAGGAGAGGAGGTAATTCTGACTTTGCTATGACAATCTGGCGCTTCTGAATCAGCTACTGTTTTGTTATTATTTTAAGTATTTGCTATTGACTGTTCAAATTCGGAGTTTTGCGCATTGTGTGTGTGTGTGTGCAAAACTAGATCAATCAAATCAAAACTAGATCAAAACGGCCAATCAAAATGCACTGGGTCAGCTGGCCAATCAGAGCAGACTGCACTTGTCGGAAGGAGGGACTTTGTAGAAAACGAAGCGTTTGAGAGAGGCGGACCTAGAGGACCTACAATAATGTACAGTATTTGAAAAATAATGTGTTTTTTGAACATTAAAGCATGTCAACATATTCTGTTACACCAAATACACAAAATAATTATCTTTAAAAAAGCATCATATGACCCCTTTAAAAAAAATGGCATCAACATCCATTTATGATATAATATCATTTAACAAACTTTAGCCACGAAAACCTGCTTTTAGCTACATCACCTGAAATGTAATTAATTTGCAACGCGGCCTGTGCCACTAGCAGAGGCAGCCTCGAGCTCGTCTGCTACGAGAGCTCGAGGCCCGGCTGCGTACGGCGCTGCGGCCGGAAGAGCTGCGGTGAAAGGCTGTGAGTGAGGCTTTGCTGCGGTGAGATCTGGGGGTGCGGCCCAGGCTCGTTGAAGGCCTGCTGCTGCTGCGACCCAGCGTTCGAGGAAAGGAGAGCTTGTGCATCATTTCATGGTGGTGTCGAGCGAGGCAAGCTCGGTGCTTTGCACGGTCTATTGGCTAGAGCGTGTGGCTGGTCGAGAAGAGCAGTGGCCGCGATGAAGCCTGGTGCTCGTGTCTGGCGGGGAAGGAGTGATCATGGGGCCGGCAAATTGCGGCGGATCTGAAAAAATCCCCAGTATAGGTCTCTTCTTTGGATGGGAAATTGGGTCTGTGATAAGATGGCAAAGGGAGTGAACCGAATGCTGAAAGACTAGAGATAATGGAGGTAAGGCTGCTTTGATTATTTATAGAGGTTCTCTCTTGTGCTGATTGGATAGATGGCCGTGTTAATTATCTGTACGTGCTCCTCCCGAAATGTGTTAATAAAACATCACTTAAAACCGCCAGTAGGTGGCAGTAAGTCACTGTTAAGTCAGTCATTGCGACTGAACTGAATCATTTAAACAGTTGATTTATTCGGGAATGAAACACCTTCATGATGCTCAAAGATGCAAAACAGAGCTGTGGCTTTGTTTGGAATTATTTTTGTTGGCGAAATAGTGCAAAAACAGGCAATATGGTGTCTAAAATGTAAGTCTCTTAATAAAACTTCTAGTTTATTGAACTGTTGTAAAAAATCAATATCACATTTGTATATGGTAATTTTTGGAGAAACAAAAGGCACTCTTCCGTGTGAACTTGATTAACTATATGAAGTGGTATAAATATACACATTTTCTGCCACCATGTCTTGAATTTGTGATCATTCTGAATGTATTTTAATAGACTGAATCATGCAGTGAAAGAGCGCACTAGACTTCACGTAATGCGTGCACTCTGTAGGTGTTTTGAATGTTTTTTTGCGTCGTGAGAATATTGAGCAAAATAGCTCACTTGTCATGGTGTTATTTAACTATATCATGTTATGAATAAACTAAACATTTTGAATTTTTACCTCAGTGTGTTTCTTCTGAGTTTATGTGTGCTGTCACGCTCATTTGTTCTGAAGTCTCGAGACAAACAGAGAGAGCCTCAGCGCCAGCTTGTATTCTGTATTATGCTAACTTACTGCAATTCTCTCTGATGACGCAGTAACTTACCGTGGGTTTTCTTTGGTCTGTCCAATGATTGTAAACAGTCATTAGGTCCGTCAGACTGAAGATATTTTAGTGGTAATGAGACCAAAAATATTTAAGACCCATCGAAAACGAGTTTAAGACATTTTAAGACTTTTTAAGGCATTATTTTAGGAAAACGTTATTGAAGACATTTTAAGACTTTTTAAGGACACCCTGACACACACACACACACACCTATTGTCTGGGGTTCAAACATCCCAAGTGTGCATTATAGACAAACGGCCCTCAGAGGGTTAAAATGAGTGTGGGTTGTCACCATTCTCAGCCCAGATAAATTTGCATCTCTAATTATTCAAGTATTCAGAGAGAGAAAAAAAAATTAACACTTTAGTACAGGGACCAATTCTCACTATTAACTAGTTGCTTATTAGCATGCCTATTCTTAACATATTGGCTGTTTATTATTTCTTATAAAGCACATATTCTGCATGACCATATTCTACATCACTAATCCTACCCAATACCTAAACTTAACAACTACCTTTTGTTAAGGTAGTTAACTATTAATAAGCAGCAAATTAGGATTTTATTGAGGCAAAAGGTTTGTTAATAGCGAGAATCAGACCTTTAAATAAATAAATATATACAGTGGTGTGAAAAAGTGTTGGCCCCCTTCCTGTTGTTTAAATGTTTTGCATATTTGTCACACTTAAAAGATTCAGATCATCAAACAAATTTTAATATTACACAAAGATAATGCAAGTAAATACAAAATGCAGTTTTTAAATGATTGTTTATTTTATTAAGGGAAAAAAGCTGTCCAAACCTGCCTGGCCCTACGTGAAAAAGTAATTGCCCCCTAAATCTAATAACTGGTTGTGCCACGCTTTGCAGCAACAACTGCAATCAAGTGTTTGCGATAACTGGCAATGAGTCTTTCACATCGCTGTGGAGGAATTTTGGCCCACTCTTCTTTGCAGAATTGTTTTAATTCAGCCACATTGGAGGGTTTTCGAGCATGAATGGACTGTTTAAGCATCTCAATCGGATTTAAGTCCGGACTTTATATATATATATATATATAAAAAAAAATATATATATAAAAATATCTTATGTTCTCCAAGCCTGCATTTATTTGACTGGTAGTGTATGTATAGATAGATAGATAGATTTTTATTTTCTCTTTTTGTAATTATATCCATGTTCTAATTAGTAATCTATAATTACACAGATCACAACCACTCAAAAACTGACCGCATCAAAAGCTCAGGTCACAGTACCTTGTATCAGGTGGAGTCTGAACATCCTCTGGTTGAGGCAGTTCCAGAGTGTAGTCCAGTGTGATCATGTGAGGCTTGCTATTTACCCACAGTACTGAGGTGGAGATGTCCTGTTTCAGGTCACTCTGAAAAACAAGCACTGATTTTTTCCATATTTCATCAGAATTACTGGACTTTCACATAAGCCTTTTAGTTTAACAGCCTTAAAATTAAACACCATTTTTTCATCACACAGAACAGACAGCTAGCAAATATTCAGAATTGTTTGTTTGCATGTTGACTTAAATTTTTTAACACTGTTTCTCAGAAATTGCATTACTGCACCTTTAATTCCTGTCATGTTTAGGCAGATAATACGGAAAAAATATTTCTGAGAATTTGTCTCTTTTTTCACAGTTTTGCAGCTAAGCCCTGATGTAAAAAATAATAAACCAAGTAGATGCATGATTTCAGACAAAAGCCAAGCACAATATGTCTCGCAATATGTCTCACCCTAACTTCCTGTTTCATTGAAAATTAGGTCAGCACTCCTCAGTGGGTCTTTAACTACCTTATAGAAAATATTCTTTCCTTGGGGTGCTTGGCCAGTCTCAAGAATGTAATCATAGTTACGGTGGTCAATGATTAGGATCCCTCCAGGTTTCGCCATGCTGGCTATGTTTTGTAAGGCAAGCTTCTGTTCACTCTGGTCCCCTGTGAAATATGAGAAAGTAGTTAAATAGATAAATCCATAAAAATATTAAACATATTTTGGTTTGGTATTCTTACCTTTGAAGTCTGGTAAATGAGCAAATGAATTGCCTAGACAGATTACTGCATCAAACCCATCTCCAGGTTTTTTAACATCTTCTGGTAATGTTAGCCAGTTGGCCTCCTCAATTACTGAAATAAAAAGACCAGGGGCCACATTTATCAACAGTGCGTATGCACAGATGTGTGTGTAATGAGTGCGTAAGAACAGTTTCACGCAAAGTGTGGGATCTACCAACTTGTACTTATACGTAGAATAATAATGTGTGTAAATACAAGCACACCTCTGAGCATGCTTACGCAGAGAATCTAGTGGTAGAATAGCGACACTACACATAAAACGCATTTAAGAATGTCACAGTATACATTAAGCAATCCACATATGTCCTGTGTTTCCTTCAGTTATAAACACTCAATGTATAATTTGTCTGGTTTTAAATTGTTTGGTGCAATGGTTTATCTTGCGTTATTGGAAGACTTGGCAAAAAATGCGCTCTGCAGAGAACGCGTTTTCAAAGACCACGCTGAGAGTGAGAGCACAGAATGGCTTCTTAGTCGGTACCGTTTTCTTTGCCATGATTTCGGTGAGGATACATACATTCACGTGATTTATAAAGGGAGGTGTTGTCACCATATATGGTTCATTTGAGGCGTTTCCGAATGCAAATGACCGTGAACGTGAAGGAGCATGTTACTTACGCACATGTGGGATTTATCAACAATGATTGCTTATGTGTGTACGAACTGCCTGCGCACGTTTGATAAATACGGATCTTCTTGTACTTAGGCAAATTCTAAATTTCATTCGTAGGACAAAAAGGCCCAGGGGTCTCATTTATAAAACTAAACGCAAAAGTTTTTCGATTTATAAAACCATGTGTACCCCAGAACCTGCGCAAAAATCCCTTTATAAATCCCAGTCATGGGAAGATTGTGCGTATGCCTCCCCGAAATCACCATATATGGAGCTTAAAACGCCTAGTTTTACTATGCATAACCTTATCAGCATATCATTTCCATGCACATTCCATTCACGTGACACTATGTTCAACAGTGTCAAAGGTAAAAGACATTAAGGGAATATGAGATACGGACTGTAAATGCCATTTGTGCCATACACAATTATTATTGCTAAAAATCATCCAGTATCCTTGCTATACTGCAGAATAAATATAAAAACAAAACTGTTTAAAATAGTTCTCAGATAAATATTTTAGAATAGAGTTGAGATCATTCTTTCCCACTGGCCAAGTATTTCAATTGTTTTAAACAATTTAAATTGAATTAAATTTATGCCGTTTTGCTGATAAGGTGAACATATTTTAGCTATTTTTAGCCTATATTAAATATTGCAGTGTAAATACAATTGTCTGACTCGGCGCGCCACTACAAATACAGTGGTATTTTTCATAATGTTGTGGAGATGCATACACAAGACATCAACACCTTCATGCAGCTGTGGTTGTACAGTAAGCTATTATCACTGGACCTATCCAAGATTTTATACTTGGGGTGGCAAAAAGGGGGCATGAGCAGAATGAGGGGTGGCAACTATAGATCAGTGTTTGTACTCCCCATATATTCTGTATATTTAACACCAGTGTTGGGGAGTAACTAATTACATGTAACGGAATTACGTAATTTACTTACAAAATAAATGTAAATGCAATCTGTTACAGTTACTGAGAAAAAAAAAAGTGTAATTAAATTAGCCTACAGATACTTATGAAAATGTTAACAATTACAAAGGGGGTTTTCACACAAACACGCACATACAGATTTGATTCATTTATTTCTTAATTGCAGTGACTGCTCTAAAATACGAAGCACCAATGTTTCAGGAGTTTAGAACACAGAATAAGATGCATGCTTATTCGATAACTGTTTAATTTCCTATTTGGGTTTATGCATATGCTTTAAGATTAACTGATTTTTGAGTTCTACTGTAAGGTTAACCCTGCCTGCTTTAAATGTTTCAAAATGATTAACAGTAGAAAATATTTTACATTTAGAAAAGTAATCAAAAAGTGATCCAATGTAATCAGTTACATTACTTTAATAAAGCAATTGAAATAGTTACACAACTGATTACATTTTAAATAGGGTAACCTGTAAACTGTAACCGATTACATTTACAAAGTAACCTTCCCAGCACTGCCTAACAGTAACCGTCAGAACATTTTCTGGAAGTCAATGGTGAAAAAAGTGTCAAAGATGCGACCCCCCCTCCCAATTTTTCATGCCACAGTGTAGGATCTATGTCTCACAACAGGATGTTCATTCACGGTCGGATCATTGTTTGCTCACTCTCGTTCTGTGTTCTCCTGTCTCCCGTTTGCTGCACTCGACTTGAGTGCGTTGTGGATGATTCCTGTGGAGTGACTGCCGCACTATTGTGGAACCACATGTTACTGTGAGGAACTCTTGCTTTCTCTGTGGAGTCCGTTGCTCCTGTGACTGTTGTCCGGGTCTCAGTCATCTGCCCATTGTAGTCCCTGCGTTGCTGAGGAATTATCTGCACCCTCACTTTTCCTGTGTTTTTTATGTTTGGTCTTCAGAAAATAAACCTTTGAACACTTGCAACTGAATCTCTAGTCTTTTCCTGAATTATCTTGACAAAACCTGCCCGTTTCCACCCCCTGATCCCTAAACCCACCCATCTCCACCCCCTAGATGTGGATCCAACCCCGCCCCCTGGATCTTTGTTCTGCAGTGAGGGGCTACTGATATTTCTATACCCATTTTGTGCATACACAATGTTTATAAATGAGACCCCAGACCATGAAGAAACATTTAACTAATTCTCACATAACAGTAAAGTCACCCACTCAAAACAGGGATCTCCACTTACCCCAGTTATCGAAGGTGGGCTCTTTTCTCCTCTCCCATCTCTCTTTAAGAGCATATTTGAGCATTTTGTCACTGGCATCCACACTAACCACCTTGAATCCCTCTTCTACCAACATGATGGAATCCACCCTAAAAAAAAAAAAAAACATATATTGGAGGAAGGCATTGATTGGACTCTCTTGGTGGTATTGATCAGAGCTGTTGAAAAACAGAGTTTGAATCGGTTTAGGCAGGATAGACAACAGTTTCACTATATTTCCAGGAATTTCTGGTAAATGTTAATGCATGTGCATTGATTACAATGCTGACTACACTTAACAGTATATACACTTTACTTATAAAGTGACAACATTAATGTTTTTCTTGAGTTTAACCCTCAGTTATTCCTTACTTGGGTCACACAACTCCTTGGCCAGACACCTTAAGTGTAACTTTGTATCAGTTGAATAACTGTACTGTATTTTAGATCAATAATATAATCGATAATACTTATTTAATATTTTGAGATTTTTCTGGTATGATATAATTTGTGCAATAATTATGATCCATTAATGACCATTTAAAATAATATTTTTTTCTAACATGTTTATTATACTTCAATTAGTGTAGCATTTATGGTTAAAATAGAGGACAGGTTTTTAAATTCCAATACAAAGTGGAAAATTAGAGGCATCCGGTGGCCGGAAAAATTATATTCATACAGTATGTACATTTACATTTAGCAGACGCTTTTATCCAAAGCCACTTACAAATGAGGACAATGGAAGCAATCAAAATCAACAAGAGCAACGATACGGTAGTGCTATAACAAGTCTCAGTTAGCTTAACGCAGTACACGTAGCAAGGGTTTTTTTTAAATTATATAATAAATAAAAACAAAGCAAGCTAGTGTTAGAGGCCTTTTTTGCTTTTGTTAATTGTATAATAAATAAAACGAAAGCAAATAGAATACAAAAAGATTAGAGAAGCAAGTGTTAGTTTTTTTTTTAAAGAAGACTAGCAGTTAGTAAATTAATAGGCTGCTAGAAGTCTAAAAGGGGCAAGTTTTTAAATTTTTTTTATAAAAAATAGAATTAGAATAGAGAGTGCTAGAGTTAGAGGGTCAAAAAAAGATGGAAGAGATGTGTTTTTAGTTGATTCTTGAAGATGGCTAAGGACTCATCTGCTTGGACTGAGTTGGGCAAGTCATTCCACCAGGAGGGAACAGTTAATTTAAAAGTCCGTGAAAGTGATTTTGTGCCTCTTTGGGATGGCACAATAAAGCGACGTTCACTTGCAGAACGCACGCTTCTAGAGTAATGTAATGCCATTGTTTAGCCACTAGATGCCTAGTAGCTCAAAAGAGAATTGCCAGACATAACTGCTTTTTTCCCCCCTCAGATTTTGCATTTGAATCAAACTCGAACACTAGATTTTTATAAGTTTAGATTTGGTAAAATATTAAATTTAAAAAGGTTAATTACTCACATCCTAATGTTATTTTATGATATTCACACAAGCATACACAACAAGTGAATATTACAGGGGTCATATGATGCGATTTAAATTTTTCCTTTCTCTTTGAAGTGTTACAAGCTCTTGGTGCATAAAGAAGATCTGTAAAGTTGCAAAGACTAAAGTGTCAAATCCAAAGAGATATTATTTATAAAAGTTAAGAGTCAACTACGCCTACCTAAAATGGCTCATTCTAACACGCCCCCACATGTCTACGTCACGATGTGGGAAGATCTGCATAACGCCGCCCAAATGTTCATGCAAAGAAAGAAGGTGTAACTTTTATTCTCGCTGTAGTATTGTTGTTGCCGCTGCCATGTTGTCAAGACGCTGGGTGTTTCGTTGTGAAAGCGAAACTACTTTGTTTGGCCTTCCAAAAGGACACGACTAGAAATCAGTGGTTAAGTTATATTTGCAACACTGTTTCAGAACAGTTCAACCCAAATATTCAGATGTGTGCAGCACATTTTATGGATGACTGTTTCCTGATCCTGGAAGAGTAGACTACAATGCCGGCTGTTCTGACTCACAGACTGTAAGTACGTTTTCATTTAAAAGATTTGCCACTGATGATTCAAATGCGAGTTTTGAGCAGTGTAGAGTAGCGCTTGTTGTTTGTCATTTCTCCGATCACAAATGCAGACATGGTTTTATGTTTATGCGGCGCGATGCAACGCAACGCGTAAAAAGACAGTATAAGTCGTTATAATCCATAATTATGTCCCCACTGGATGCTCCAAATGCCTCATTTATAATGGATTTTCATGTTTTTGAATCATCGCTCCGGCCGGACAGGGCATCACAATATGGTAAGGGGCGTAACATTTCCATCACACACTTGAGGTATTCGGCCAATCACAAAGCACTGGATAGCTGGCCAATCAGAGCACACCTCGCTTTTCAGACCGATGAGCTTTGTAAAAATCGATGTGTTTCAGAAAGGCGGGGCATAGAGGAGAAACAATAATGTACAGTATGTGGAAAATAATGTGTTTTTTTAACCTTAAACCGCATAAACACATTTCATTACACCAAATACACAAAATAATGTTCTTTTTAGCAACATCATATTTAATGATCGCAAGCTGACAAGTTTAAGTGTTTATAACACACACACACACACACAAGGCAACCAATAGCATTCAGTGAAACTCCACTATATTACTACTGGATAGATTCCTGAGAGGGCAACTAATGCATTAAAATGTAAAGAAAAATGCACTAATTTCATCAACTTACCAACAAGTTTATTTAAGAAACACTAAAATGATTGGGGTTCAATGCTAGAACTACTGGTTGCTTGGAAATATTAGAGGACCCCCTCATAATTACACACACTTAATACAATATAACTTATGCATTTAGCAGACGCTTTTATCCAAAGCAACTTACAGTGCATTCAGGCTATATACTTTACCAGTATGTGTGTTCCCTGGGAATTGAACCCATGATCTTTCGCGCTGCTAACACAATGCTCTACCACTGAGCCACAGGAACATTTAGATGCCATTGGATGTCCATTTACAATTTTTTTTTTTTATATATATATATTTTTTCTGGACTCTGTTTTAAAAGTAACCAAAAATCATGTCTAATTATTTGAAATCATAAAACGAATACAACTTAATTTAGTAAAAGTTACATTTAAAAAATAATAAAAGGGTCCTATGAAATGTTTTATTTTTTAGAATTTTTTTTTTTTGTTTTATTAAAAATAAATTAATTTTTTTTGTGATTTAACACACTTATTATAAAAACAGTGGTAATCAAATGAAAACTCTTTTCAAAGACTGTTTCATTTCAAGACATTTCAATTATAATCAGCATCGTAAATCCTGTTTGTACAAGTTTTTTAAATATTTTAATTGAAAATATACTATACTTTATATTATATTACCTTTGCATGAAATTACAAATAGTTAACGCTTCTGTGAGGGTGTTTTTAATACAACAGCAGTGGGAGTGACTGTAAATCTGACATTGTTCTCATATCAATCTCTCTCCGATTTTCTCTTTTTGAAAGCCGTGAGTTTTTCTTTTGCTATTTGAGCAAATGGGAATGCAAAAAAACATGTAACATGTTTTCTCAACATGTAGAAAACAGCAACACGTAGTCTCCTGTTCACCTCCATAGAAGACATCCGATTACTTCTGCTTCAGAACTTCAGCAGAAATGAGAAAAATGTCCATTACTTTACTTTTTGGCAAACAAAGTGCTACATGACAGAGGTTTACTGTTGATTTAAAACACAGAAGAAAAACTGCAACTATTTCTTATTTTTTAACTGCAACTATTGACTTATTATTAATATTTTGAGAAGCACATTCTACTGTACTATAGTAATATATATCTCTCATGTTAAAACCAAACCTTTATTTTGACAGGTTGTCATGAAGACTTTTGAGCTTCTTTGTGATATACGGTTGTTTTATCAAATTAAATAGTGAAGTATCTCTTAGAGCAGCTCTGGAAATGAAGTTCATGCCCTTATATAGTGAAACAGAAAATGCTAGAAACACCATGAATGTCACATATACTTCAGTATGTGTAGAAGAGAAACTGTGCCATTCATTCACACAGAGAAATTCAGACTTCAATGGCAGTCTTTTTGTGCTTTAATATTCACTGACACTAAACTATGGACTAATCTATAATCTATTCAATTATATCTAATCTATTTGAAAACTCCTGCTCTAAAATGCTCAAAAGCACTTTAATGAATTACTTAAACAATTACGTCTGCATTCTACTTATGACTTGACAACTTTCAACACACCTACATGCAGCAATTTTCTACTTTTAAGGGCTGTAAGGCTGACTAAATTAAAGAGAACAGAATGATGTGCTTATAATGACAAGATGGAATAAAGCTAGTTATATTTAATGGTGTAAATATATTATCAATTTTAAGCAAACTCGCTATCCGTGGCACTTCTACTACATTTGAAATATAGTTACATGCACAAATGAACTTCAGTGAAATGTCAATGAACTTTAATGAAACAAATGCACAAAATAGTGATTCAATTTGAAACATGCATTTAATAAACGCAGAGTGATGCATGCATTTGTCAAGTCTTTTTCTCCTACATCACACATCCAGCTTTGCAGTGTATCGAAAGAGCGCTGGTACTGACACTATTAATCTTATTAAAGCCACCATGCAATCAAAATGGACAATTCTTCTTCTTTTTTGTTTTGTTAATGTGCCCTTTTATTCCCCTCATAACAGCATTTCTTTACTGACATGTATATTGATGTGAAGGCTGGGCAATAAGGCTGTCCAATGGCCAGACGAGTTTCAATCCTTCCCCTCCAGCAACTTCTCACTCCACAACTGACTACAAACTTGCATTCAGATCTGCCTCCATTTAGTTTGCAAAACAACTTTCTTTGATTCAGTCAATTCCAAATGGATGAAGTCCTGACCTATAGTTCTTGTAAAAGATGATTCACTTGGATATACATCACATTAGGGAAGAAAAGTCGGTCACAATTTCCATTTCATGCTGACTTTAAACAAATGATTTGCAGTTTAAATTGATATGTGGTTAAATATCTGCTACAGACATGCCTGTGTGGAGAATACAAATGTCTGGGCTGGAGTTCATCTAAATGGAAAACAGGTCTTGCAGGTTATGCTGAGTTAACAATTGAAGACACTCCCCCAAATACAAAGCCGGATTTACCTCTTATCGTGACATAGGCAAAACAAATGTTTGGGCCCCCCTTCCTTATCAATATATAGTATTAGCACCCCAGCAAACAAAAATATTTCCTAATCAGTGGAAACTGTTACAGTGTTTTCTATCACAAAAAGCGCTTATGTTCAGTGTTACGACCGTTTCTTTTGGTAAATATTATCAGTCAATAAATATCAAATGTAGTTCTTTCTTTGAGAACGGAGAACCGTTCCATTAATAGGCTCCGGCGTTGTGGCCATACCACTTTCGGGAGTGCATTATTTCTCTAACAATTTTAATGGCCTAGAGTCACAACCACCTCATTTGTTCATTGTTCAGATGATTTATTTCAAGACATCTGTCATGAATGTGTTCAAGTAATTTCTTACGCACCTCATCCCAAACCTTCCGTTGAAAATTCCTAAATGTAATTTTTAGAGCTAATAACAGACTATTGATATGCAGGCTAATGCAGTTATTAGAGAGAGAGAGAGGGAGGGATTAAGCATGTGTGAATACCTGCGTCATGTGCATCTCTCAGCAGCAGCGTCTACTAATAGCGAATCTTTTAGTTGAACTGCTTCAAGAACCTCGCTACTAAGAGATGGCATCTTAGTGTGTCTGAGAATGACAACGGGAGAAAGAAAGCGCAATTTCTGTAGCTACATAAAAAGGAGGAAAACATGGAAATAGTTTGTCATTTTTACCCTAACGTAATATTTGTCTTCTGGGGTTTTGGTTCTTTACTGTTGTAGATTGCCCATAGTTAAAAAAAAAATTATATATCTCTCTTCATTGTGTTTGGGCCCCCCCTGGATGAGTGAGCATAGGCATGTGCCTAGAATGCCTATGCATAAATCCGGCCTTGCCCAAATACAGCTACTACACAGCACTGCCCAGCAGCAGCAGCAGATATTATTAGACAAGTTATTGTGTGCATGTTTCATTGGCAGAGAGCAGATGTTCAAGTGGTCATATATTGTACAAAAATCTTAACTGTCTGTAACTTCCTCACCACCAGTAAATGTTTATTTATTTATTTTTTTGCAGGGGTATGACTTATTATTACCTCTTTATGCTGTACCAACAAAATATATTTTAACAAGCATATTTTTTGTTGGTGTCACCGGTTTTTGGCAGTCTTGTGTTGTGTATCTATCTATCTATCCACACACACACACACACACACACACACACACACACACACACACACAC